GCGCGCGCCTCCGCTTCCCGCCGTGGAGCCGCTGGGCGCGCGCCGGGCAGGTACGCGCCGGGGGCTTCCAGCTCGGGCGCAGAGCCCGCCAGCCTGCCTGTCCCCGAGGGAGGCCTGGCAGCCAGGCAACCTGTGGCTCTGCTCGAGAGAGGACGGAAGAAGTGACCAGGACTGGGAACGCGTTGATTCAGGGAACTGTCTTCCTTACCTGGGGAGCCCAAGGGGGGCTCCCAGAACGCCACTCTGCATTTCATCAGAGACGTTCTAGAACTCGGATTTTAATGTAGGGTATGAGAAAATACCAAACTAGGGATGGGGAGGACAAGGGACTTGAGAAATTCACAATCATATTGTGCCCTTGATTAGGAAGCAGAAAGAGTATTTAAAAATGTCTCCTGCAACGGAGTCCTGCAGTCGGAATTGCAGGGAGGAAGGAGTGGAAGGCTGCGTTGATGTACAAACAACGATTAAATTAAAATCTTTCTGTGCTTATTAACCAGCCTTTAGAATTGATCCTGATGTAACCTACACTTCTCTACCAATTGCCCGCCCCCCGCGCGCATCCGTTTTATTCTGTATTTTGGAATGCAGTAAAATACATCACCATACTCCAGAAACCATAGCTATTCATTATTTCAAGAAGAAATTTCTTCTTTTTTTTTTAAATTCGTGATGCTTTTTCTAAATATAAAACTGCTGGCTAAAGGAAATATAGATGACCCTGATCACATTTAGGGAGAGAGGAAAAGCCTCTAAAAGCAAGGAGAGAACATTTTAGACTAATTTCTAAAAAGGAAAAAGAGCTTTGGCCAACCCTCTCTGGTCCTATAGTGAAGCAACAAAGTACAGAGCAAATGCTCTCCCTTTTCCATAAACGATTCTCTTCCTCCTGCTGTCTGTTTAGTTTCACTGATAAGTCGTAGCCAAAGTAGATTTTTGGTCTGTTTCTCATTGGTGAATTATTCCAACTTTCTTTTTCAATCTCTCTGGCTTTTTTTCCTGCAGTCTGTGTAACAATTCACTTGTATTTGAAAGTTGTTGACACAAATTCACAACCAAACTACCAAGAAAGGGTGGTGCCTTCATAGGAGTTAAACTTGCTGCAAAAAAAAGAAAGACAGTATACCAAAGATGATTAAACATATAATCTTAGAACCTATTTTTCTTATTTTAGACAATTTTGTTTTTTAGAAAAATAGAGTCGGAAGCTTGCTGGAGTTATGGGTATTAAGAGTAAGAAGTTTTTGAAGCAAAAATATTAATGTGAGATTTATAACATTAGTGCAATGTGTTACAAAATAGCATAAAGACCAGAAGAAGAGAAATGCAAGAATATGGTCATGGTTCTAATACTGTGTGTGAAGAGGTATAATATCACCCTAAGGAAGATTGTGTGAAGCTAAAGATGTATACTCTAAACCCTAAAGCAACCACTGAGGAACACAAATCAGCTTCATCAAAGACCCACCATGGGGATAAGATGAAATTATTCAAAAGAAAACAATCCAAAAGGAGGCAAAAGAGATAGATAATACTAATAGAAAACCAATAGCAAAATGTGAGATTTAAATGTAATGTTATCAATTAATGCTAAAATAATAGTCTAAATGCCATAGTTAAAAGGCAAAATTTTTCAAATTACATTTAAGAAACATGGTGGCCACCAAAACAAAAAAGAAAGAAAAGAAAAAGAAAAGCATTTTAAATATGATGAACACATGAGTTAAAGGTAAAAGGCAGCTGTGACCAGAATAAAGCTGGAGTGATTACATTGATTTCTGATGTTGTAGATTTCATAGCCCAGAATATTGTCAGGGGAAAATATTTATAGTGAGAAAATTAATTGATTCAGAGAACATAATACTCCTAAATATGTGCACACCTAATAACAGGGCTTCAAAATATTGAAGCAAAAACGGGTAGGACTGTAAGATAAAATAGATAAATTCACCCTGATGGTTAGGGATGTCAGTGCCCCTCTCCCCACAACCAGTATAACAAGCAAAGGGGAAGTTAAGGATAGAGAAGATTCAAACAATGCTACCTACCCACTCAACCTGATTGACAGTTAGAGAGCACCTCACCCAACTGCAGCAGAGTGCAGTTCTTTTCAAGTGTCCATGGAACATGTTCCAATACAGAACATATTTGAGCCATAAAACAAATTTCAGTAAATTTAAAAAGCATTCAGAGTCAAGCTATAGTAAGTGTGTACTTTCCCATGGTGAATTGAAAATAGGAATTAGTAAAAATTAATATACCATAGATAAATATATAGAAAATCCTCAAATATTTGGAAACTAACATATCTCCAAGTAGTCCCTGGAACACAGCCTATTTCTGTATAATATCACTAAATTGAAATTAAAATGATATCATTACAATATATAATACGTAAAACACCTTGAGAAAAACATGAAAATAGATATGTAAGACTTGAACACTTAAAACCTATAAAATACAACTAAGAGAAATAGAAGAAGATAAGTAAATGGAGAAAGATACTGTTCAAAGATCAGAAGACTCATTATTAGGATGTCAATGCTCCTTAAATTGATCTATAGTTTCAACTGTACCTTAATTAAAATCTCAGCATGCCTTTTCATATATAGGCAAAAGCTGATCCTAAAAATTCATGTGAAGATGACGTAAAATACCCAAAACAACTTTGAAAAAAGAACAAAGAAGAACCTTCATGTCTCACTAATTAAAGCTACAGTAATCATGGTAGTGTGGTTGTGATATCAATGAACAGGTAGAACTATGTGATAAGGATGTATTCCAAAACCAGACCCACACACAATTATGGTCTCCTGGTTTTCAGCAAACACTGTTCAGTGGGTAAAAGACAGTCTTTTCAACAAATGATGCCAGAATTATTGACTATCCATATGCAAAGAAGAAGAACAGGAAGATAAGAACAAGAATTACTCTTACTTTGACCTATACTCAGCAAATCAAAAAAATTTAACTCAAAAAGGATGACTGACCTAAGTGTACACCATTGCACTTATAGGCTAGGGAAATAGGAGAGAATTTTTGTTACCTTGGTTCTTAGATATGATGGCAAAGCAAGATATAAAAAAGGGGAATAAAAAAAAAAAAGCAAGGGAGCCCCTTACATTGGGAACCTGTCTGACACTCACAGTGGATCGTCAGTGTTTGTACAAAGTTGGCCTGATGTTCACTAGTTGGTAACTAGGTAATAACTAGTTAATATTATTCTTTTGGACATAAAGAACGTCACAGATCACCAACATCAAAGTCGCTCTGAAAATGTGATAAAGATAAAAATGGGCTCACTGTGCAACCCTCAAAACATCAAACATCCCTCTTTCAGAAATGAGTGATTGCTATCTCCATACCAATTATAGCTCCCTCAAAGCTCTAGTTTACATTCCTTATAAACAAGAACTGTGGAGATACCTATTCACAGAATTTCACTTGATTTCTGACAGCACCCAATCAAAGTGAATCCCTAATTCCTTAAATATTTCCCAAAATTACCCAACGAAAGCCCAAATCCCCCCAAAGATGCCTTCTAACCCCCTGTAAAAAAACTCTCCATGATTTCTGTGGGAGCATTCTCCCTCACTGCAACAAGGCATTTTGTGTGTGTGTGTGTGTGTGTGTGTGTGTGTGTGTGTGTGTGTTTCTGTCTGTTTGTCTCCTGAGAGCACTAGGGCACTAAGGCATTGAAAAATTGATTAGTAAGGTAAGAATGTCTGCTCGCTGAAAGGCATTGAAAAGATGCTGCACACTTGGAAAATTTTTTTTCAAATCATATATTTAATAAAAGACGTGTCAAAAATATGTAAAGAAATCTCAGAACTCAATAATAAAAAAAAAAACACATAACTGAATTTAAAAGTGAGCAAAAGATTTGAACAGTCACTTCATTGCAGTAGGTATATTTTGGCTACTAGACACATGAAACGATGTTCAACATCATTAGTCTGTAGGGAAATGCAAATCAAAAGCAAAAAAAGCTACCACTACACACCTATTCGAGTGTCTGCAGTTAAAAAGGCTGACCATACTGAGTTCTAGGCTGGAGAACCTAGAACTCTCCCATATGGCTGGTGGAATGTACAAGGTGCATAACTTGGCAGTTTCTTAAAACACAAGGTGTGTGCTTACCATGTTACTCAGCCATTCCAC